TAACAAGGTAAGGACGAAAACGACCTACGACTCTAATGGTAAGCATTTCCTGTCGCTAGGGAGAATATTTGCAAGAAAACAACTCGCTAGGGAAGTTTTCCCATCTGTCACGACCTCCTCTTCCTGAAATTTTCCTAACATTGTTACATTTTGAAGTTTTCAGTTTTCCCAGAATTTCACCCTCTAGCGGATGGAAAGGTCTTCACCAAGCAAACTACCGAATTTAACTATCGAGAAACGGGAAAAACCGTGGAAAGTGAGCAACAGGGGAAACTCTTCCTGATTTTCTCGCATACGAAACACTTTTTGAATCATGTACGATCCCCCCCTCCCTCGACTGACCAAATACGACTCCCGGCCAGGGGCTCCCAGCATACGACGTGCTCTGTTTCATACTCGCTTGACAGGCCTTTCCTGGCTGTTCCAAAGTGCTTCCGCTTCCGTTAGACTTTCAGCATGGGATGAGTAGCCCAAATGTGTGGGGTTTCATAACAGTAAGGGTATGAAATTCATCTAGAACTAAAACTGTTATAGTCGCTCTGAAGCAGGACTGAAATTGACTTCCATACAGCACAAATCAAAGAGGGTACACATTTCCTAATGGAAATGCAGAGAATCGCCACTACTTGTTTTTTAAACTCGCCACTTCGAGTTATGGATTAAGAGGTATTTCACAGTTCGTAGGAGTTCATAGGCATTGGCTGTAATCGATGGAAACTAGCTCCAAAATGCCCCACCAAGCCGAATTGCGCCTTTTTAGTTTGGTTGTCAACAATCAGATCACTGCGAAGTTTCTAGGCAACACAATACACAAAAAATCACCAAATATCGCTGAAGTAAGAGACACTCATGGATAAGGACGTAAGTCAGAAGATGTATCAAATCTTTATCAAATTCTTTACAACAACAAAATCGCCTTTACGTATTTGTGCATTTCAGAAGGCACATTTGTAATATTAAGACGAATACACGACGAATTATCCTAACAAAAGCACAAGTGCCATGGAAACGAGTGATAGTTAAACGGCAACGAAACAGTGGGCGCTAGGGCTAGGGTTTGAATTGTATTCTGAGTGATATCTCGGAGATGATTTGTTATCGGTTATCATTTCGAAAGTGAAAATAGGGGGAAGGGGGACTACAGGTGGCTGATATGGCTTCCAGCACCGTCACGGCTTCTACCTGGAAATTCAAGGTAGAACGAAAAATCTACGCCCAGGTAAACAGAGTGGGATGCTGAAGGAATAGACTGCTGTTCGTTGTTGAGTACAGTCGTGATCCCCGGAGTTGATAATGCATGGTGATGGGGGGAAGGGGCGGTGTTTTGGAGTCGTCCGTCAGCCGCGCAGCTTTCAAGGGCCTAATTGATAGCGGGCTCGGATGGCATTATTTGATATATAAAAGCTCTGACTGACTTCCATTCACGCTCGTCACATGCCCTATCCTTCTGTAGGGAATCATGCAATGCTTTCTCTGCTTGTTTACTTGTTTACTTGAGATGACACTAAAGTTGTACTTGTCTGTAATAGGATAGGCTGCTGAAGTTCTAGGTTCTCACCGTGGGCTTCTACTTAAATAGAATTGTGCTGTATTCTGTGAAAAACCTACGACCGCTTTGTACCGTCACATTCCGCGGCTTGAAGCGCATGGCGCGGGACTAGACAATACACCACAGGAGCAAAACCTTCTTGCTTCTTGACCGTTACATATTTGCAGAACAAGACTTAAACGTTGACTTAACCTTGTGATAACAATGTTGCGTTGATATTGGAGCTTGAGTACGATCAGTGCTCGTTTCCTACAACTGATTTAACTTTTGATCTCGGCTTTGATCAGTTACTCAGTTATTTGAGGTCAGCCTTTAGTATTTGCCAGAAGCCAAGCCTATCCTTCTTTTAGTGCTCTAAATCCTCACCGTCATAGCTCTTGCCATTTCCCTTGCTCTCTCTTGACGTCGTCGCAATTCATACCATCAAACTGGTGGCTCTCTCCGGTGATGCGCAGTAGTGGTGCCGGCGAGGCAGTTTTGATTTCTCGCGGGTAGCCCCGGGCCTACACAGTCTGTCTGGTCCGCTAAATAGCCTTTGACTTCTTTCTCTTTTGGTTAGGACAAAGTGCAATAAAGTCAGTTCTTCAAAAACCTCTACCTGGTTCTCGGCACTAGTTCCCTCCCCTCTCTCACACCTTTGATGATTACCAAACGACAGCGTCAGGTTCGAGTGCGCCTCATGATTTAGCCGAAGTGCTCGCTGGGCCACACAATAAAGCGCTAGTTTTTGTGGTGGTTTTTGAAAACCGCAGTAAACTACCTATAGAGGTGTTGGTTTTTTCTTGTTTTTGCTTTCTTACTCGCTATAGTTGTCAACTTGCATTCAGTTGTACTTTCATTTCCTGCCGCTAAGTTAGGCAAACAGCTCATGCTCGTTTGTGATCTGAATGATGTCATAAATGTCTTCGATTTTGTTTACTTTTTTGATTAGAATTGACTTGTCACTTTCTTCCTCTTTAACTGATTAATTAATCAATTGACAAGCAAAACAATATATAAGTAAATACATAGGTAATGATATATTTTCTCGAGTGGATGTCGTTGCCATCGCCCCTTTCATCTAACAATTTCTCCACCCCCTCTCGATAGGCCGCGCCATGTCCTGACTACTCAATGACAAAAATTCTTATTCCGCTCTGCATGGGTGCTGCAGTCCTGTTCGCTGCGGATGATAGGACGTTTGGGACGTGCCAGTTAGGCTACTTTTGGCGGATAAGTTACATCAGTTGGTGGAAAACGAGTGACACGAACGATATGATACGGTCTTATTGCTTTCTCGCTTCAACAATTGGTGAAAAAAGGGTTGGCGCCGTGCCAAACCCATCCCGCCTGATACGCCCCATCATCCGCAGCGAACAAAATTATAAGTAATCTGATATTGATTAATGATTTTATGTAGTATCTTGATTTTTATTAGCTTTTCTGAAATTTCCTTTCAGTGAATTAGAGGAGGGGGTGATTCAAAAAGTCGCTTAGTTTCCGTTTTTGCACGTGCCATTAGACGGGAACTAAACAGTTGTTATGTCCTCCTTCTGTGTCATCAGTATAAATTATAAATT